AAAACTCAACTCTTAAATCTTATTAAAGCTAGTTCTGATAATGAGTTTAACTCTGAATTAGAACAAGTTTTTCTCAATCAAGAAGATTCTGATTATGAATCTACTCAAAATTCTGATTCTTGTACTTCTTCAAATGATAAAGAAATTTGTGGTTGTAAAACTATAAATGTCTTAATTGGAGAAGAAGAAATTATTCAAAATATTATTGATAGGATTGATAATCCTAAACTCAAAAACAAATTTTCATCTCTTTTTTCTTCCTCTACATCAAAAGAAAAATTTGATGATATCAATATTACAAATATTCTTCGTCGTGCTCAAAAAGAACTTTCAAAAGGTTCTAAACCTTCAATTCCTGATCTTCAAGGTGAAGTTAAGGATATGAAAATTCAAATTTCAAAACTTGAAAAACAAGTCAAAGATATTCGTATGGAAGTAGTTTGCCTTAAAACAAAAGACTTAACTAATGAATATTATTCTCAAAACAAAGTTAAGTCAAAATCATCTTCAAAATTACCCTCTCATCACTCTGACTCATCTTCATCTGATTTCTCATCTAATTCAAAATTTCCCCAAACTGAAGAAGAAAATATTAATGTTATTAATCGAATTCAACTTAAAAAATGGTACTGCAATATGACCATTGTAGTCAACAAAGAATTCAAATTCTCAACTCGTGTTCTGATTGATTCAGGAGCAGATCAAAATTGTATCAAGGAAGGCTTAATCCCTACAAAATATTTCGAAAAAATCACTAAACGTTTTTATGGTGCTAGTGATAAAAAATTAATAATTAATTACAAAATTTCAAAAGCTTATGTCTGTAATTCAAATATTTGTTTCGAAAATATTTTTTATTTGGTAAAAGATTTAGATCAAGATGTTATTCTTGGTACACCTTTCATTGTTCAAATTTATCCTTTTAAAGCTGACTATAAAGGATTAACTACAAAGATTTTTGGAAAGAAAATCTTCTTTGAATTTTTAAATCCTCCTTCTTATAAAGATGTAAACTCTTTAAAAGAAGCTGCAATTTCAAAAATTATTCATATCATTAATTTGAAAAGAAATCATATTCAACTTCTCAAAGAAGAAATTTCATTTCAAAAAATCGAGAAGAGATTACAAGATTCTCTTATCCAAAATCAGATTAATGATTTACTAAAGAAAATTGAACAAGAAATTTGTTCAACAATTTCAAATGTCTTTTGGGATAGAAAGAAACATATTGTTTCTCTCCCATACAATTCTGATTTTCGTGAATCAAATATTCCTACAAAATCTCATCATATTCAAATGAAAAAAGAATTACTTAATTTTTGCATCAAAGAAATCAATGATTTACTTGAAAAATGATTAATCTGTCCAAGTAAATCTCAATGGAGTTGTTCTGCATTTTATGTCAATAATTCTGCAGAAATTGAAAGAGGTGTTCCTCGTCTTGTTATCAATTACAAACCACTCAATTCAACTCTTCAATGGATACGTTATCCAATTCCTCAAAAGAAAGATCTTCTTAATCGACTTTCAAAAGTTATTATCTTCTCAAAATTTGATATGAAGTCGGGATTCTGGCAAGTTCAAATTAAAGAAGAAGATAGGTACAAAACTGCATTTAATGTTCCTTTCGGACAATACGAATGGAATGTTATGCCTTTTGGTCTCAAAAATGCCCCCTCAGAATTTCAAAAAATCATGAATGACATTTTCAATCCCTTTTCAAATTTTATTATAGTGTATATTGATGATGTTCTTATTTTTTTCACAAAATATAGAACAGCATTTTAAACATATTCATACATTCATTCATATTATCAAGAAAAATGGATTAGTAGTTTCTGCTAAAAAAATTGTTTTATTTCAAACAAAAATTCGTTTTCTTGGTCATTTTATTCAAAATTCTACAATAATACCAATTCAAAGAAGTCTAGATTTCACTGACAAATTTTCAGATGAAGTTTTAGATAAAACAAGTTTGCAACGCTTTTTAGGTTGTGTCAATTATGTGGTCGATTTTGTCAAAAATTTACGTCAACTCTGTGCCCCATTATTCAAAAGATTACAAAATAACCCTGACCAATGGAATCATGAGTGCATGCATGCGGTCCAAAAAATCAAAAAGATGGTCAAAAACATTCCTTGTCTTTCAATACTTGACCCCACAACCTCAATTATTGTCGAGACAGATGCATCAAACATTGGATTTGGTGGTGTGTTAAAACAAATTCCACTAGAGTCATCTCAAGGACAGTTAGTTAGATTTCATAGTGGAGTCTGGTCTGGTCCTCAAAAGAATTATTCCACTATCAAAAAAGAGATTCTCTCAATAGTTCTTTGTATCTCAAAATTTCAAGATGATTTGATTAATAAAAAATTTATTTTGAAAACTAATTACAAAGTCTCAAAAGATGTTTTACAAAAAGATGTAAAAAAATCTTGCTTCAAAACAAATCTTTGCAAGATGGCGGGTTATTCTGTCCTATTTTGATTTTGAAATTCTTTATATTCAAGGGTCTACAGATCAAGAGAAATGCTGCTCAATCTTTGTCAAGTTCAAAAACAATGGTGCGTGATTTGTCAGGATACCAATCAAGTCTTTAGACAACATCAATCACTACTTTAATAAAGAAAAGATTATCTTTATTAAAAGAAGTCAAAAGTTGGAAACTTTTGGCAAAAGTTGGTACTACTTTTCAAGATTCTTCATGATAATGTCGTCCACTCCTCTTTTCAAGATTCTTTCTCTCAAATGAAAGAAATTTTAAGTCCGAACTATATTATAAGAAGACCTCAAGATTTCATTTGAAAGCAGAGCGAATTCAGCAAGAAGAAGTTTCGGTTTTCTTTATAATTTGTCTCTCAAATATATTTTCATTTTCAAGAATCTTTGTAGTAATTTTTCCTCTTCAATAAAATTTCTCTATTTTCATAAATTTCTGTTCTTCTATTTCCATCCCTGTTCCCCTGGGCCTTTATATATATATACAAACCTTGTATACATGGCAAAGCTCTATCTATATATAATGAGAGGGAAAGAGATCTAGATATAAAAAAAAGCCAAGTGATGGATTGACAAAAAAATGGAAAGCTCCATAAATGAGTAAGGGTTTAAATGAGTTGGCTCGCAAGACAAAGCCAGAGGCTCAAGCTTTTTTTGGCTCCAAAAATCCATGACTTGGCTCAAGCCTTACCTTATTGACTCGAGTTGGCTTGATTTTTTTATTTTTTTTACTCGGGCCTCTAGGGGTGTAGCTGCCTACGAAACAAAGGCAACTATGGCTGCCTGAAAATATAGACAGACATCTTAGTTGCCTCACTGGCCATTTTAGCCTATTGAAAGAGTAGACACTTGTGGCTCGTTGAGCCACACAGGCTGGCTCTAGTTTAGGCTCAAGTCGTCGTCTAAAAATTGGGTTTGGCCTGCTTCAGCTCGAATCCAACGAGCCATAAGTCGAGTCAGCTCGAACTTTTCACGAGCAGGGCCACGAACCGTTCGAACAGACAAGCCAATTTGACAACCTAGAAATAAGATATGAATATATTATGCATGTGGGTCCCTCAATTCTACACAATATCAAGAATAGACAGTGAACTCAAGTGGAAAATAAAAATTCGATATAACTATTCCAAACAACGGCAAAATTTCAAGACTTTTTAAAGTAAGCACGTTAAACAGAAAGCCTACCCTCCTGAGAGCATCTCCAATCGTAATGTAAAATTGGATGTAAATTTGTATTTCTAAAATCACTTTTACATCCTCATTTATATTTTAATATATCTAAATCCAAATTTTACTTCAATTAGAATATCTAAATTCATTTTTGTCTCTTGTGGATATAAAAAAGAAGTAACATCTTTTTTTACGTTTTATGTCGAAAATGTAATTTATATTTCCTTTGCATCTCTTTATTGGAGAGATTTTCGATGATTTTAAATATCTAAATTACAATTTTACACCATGATTGAAAATGCTTTGAACTATCAAAACACCCACACTGCCAAGTAGTTAGAAAACCATCCGACATATAGTAGGAGAATATCCTACTAGTAACCCTAGGGTAATTGACAATTTAGATAAGGAGAAACCCATTTGTACATAATGAATTCTCACAGAATGCTGTCAGCACCTCACATGTAGTGACCCCCATGTTGTGATAAAAAAATTGTCAAAAAATTCACCCACCTCCCTACTGTGAGTTGTTTGTACAGCGTCTATGAAATTTTGTTCTGTACACACAATATCTCCCTTTAGATAAAAGGAAAAGGCTGGCAAAGTCGGCCTGTTTTATGGAGCACAGAGAGAGAGAGAGAGATACCAATTTGCCAATGAATGCTTTGAATTTTAATGACTTTTTGCCCAACAAACTATTCGACATAGAGTAGGAGAATATCCTACCCGTAACCCTAGGGTAATTGACAAGAAAAGGAAAAGGCTGGCCAAACTCGGCCAGCATTATGGAGCAGAGAGAGAGAGATAGACCTCCTCCAATAAATGCTTTCTATTTTAATGACTTTTTGCTCAAAAAAAAGAGAGAAAAATCCATTTTTGTCTATGGTAAAAATAAAATTGAACTCTCAATTCCTCTATTCACTAACAATCTTGCTATATGTCAAGTTTGACACTATTATGAGGTTGTGACTTTTTATACATTAATTTTAACAATACTTTAAACAATTAATGAGACAAATTTTGACACATAATTGAGTGTCAAAATTCTTGTACTCTCCAGTGTACAACAAGCTTAATTCATCCATTAATATTATGGTCCCAATCTGATGATATACCAATTAAGGCTCCATTATCTAGACCCTATGTCTAAAAACGTGGCAAGTCTACTAAAGACGACGATCGAGGATACTCACACGAAGATCCTTGGGCTAGATCAACACTCCAGTTCCTATATAAAGGTGATGAACCCAAAGTATTTGTTCATCAAAATCCTAGTCTATATTTAGAGCTTCGATATTTAAAATATTCATCTCTCTCGAAGAACATTAATTCTCACAACAGTGGAAAAACGGAGAAACGTTCTTTACCCTCTTCAGGTTATCGAACCACCGGAAATACAATTTTTATTATGGGAGCAACACTTCCTGCAATCCATATTTTAAGGTAATATCGTATACCAATTTTTAATCTGATAGAAGATAATGTACCACGACCAAGGTCAAGGGTTAAATAAGCCAAACAAATGCTTAATTACACTGTTCATTCCATATAAGCCACAATTCTGTGTAGTAATGCTAAATATCCATGTAAGATGAAGATTAAAGATTAATCTTATATTAATTATTATCTCTCGCGTTTTAATGTTAAGGTTATATTAATTATTAACTCTCGCGTTTTAATATTTTTAATCAAATCACTGTATATGTGGAGTAGTATTAATACTAAACAAATGAAATAAAATAGGAAACCCAAAACCAAAACTTTGAAGGGCGATTTATAAATGAACTTCTATTTCAAGAAAGATACTGATGCTTTGAACTAATAATAATATTAGCATATTGAAAAATCCTTTTACCAATGAGGTAGCAATCAAAAGAATAGTTACTCGGGACAACAATATAATGTATGACTTTAACATTGATTTCTATCTGAGATGCACAGAAGTCATCAAAAATGACAGACCCAAATCCACTGCCCAGGGACACTCCAGAGTCTGAGTCGCCAAGAATTGTGGAACAACAGCTATCCTTAGATGATACGATTGAACGGTGCATCGGGAACTGCGGGAGGATACAATTCTTCCAAGCCACTCTTATATCATTTGCTTATTTTTTCGATGCACAACAATGCTTCATAAGTGTTTTCACTGATGCTGAGCCAACATGGCATTGCAATTCACTTAGTAATTCGCCGTGCAAGAATATCTGTCGAATTCCGAGAGATTCTTGGAACTGGGATTTGCCCGCTCACACTTCCATAATCTCTGAATGGTCCCTTGAGTGTTCCGGCTCCGTTATCACCGGCCTCTTGGCATCGACCTTCTATTTGGGCTGCCTCGTTGGTGGGTTTGTCCTGTCAACCCTGGCGGACTCTTCTTTGGGCCGAAAGAACATGCTTGTCTTATCTTGCCTGCTCATGTCTGTAAGTGGAGTTTTAACCGCACTCTCCACCAACGTGTGGATGTATACCGCTTTGCGATTTATCAGTGGATTTGGTAGGTCAACAATAACCACTTGTGCACTTGTTTTGTCAACAGAACTTGTTGGGAAAAAATGGAGAGGAAATGTTGGGATCATAGGATTTATCTGTTTTCCTATAGGGTTTCTTTCTTTACCTGGCATTGCTTATCTGACCAAAGGTTCCTCATGGAGACTCCTATACATGTGGACTTGCGTTCCAGCAGTATTTTACTCTGTATTATCGTATTTTCTAGTTTGTGAATCGCCCCGGTGGCTTTATATCAAGGGACGGAAGGAAGACTTTGCCAAAACACTGAGAAGCATTTCTACACCAGCAAAACGGAGTAGCTTAACTGACAGCTTCTTCGACAAGTGCATTAAGTGGGAAGACGAGTGGCTAGAAACAGACTTGTACTCCACAATAAAGATCTTGCTGCAAAAATCTTGGACTCTTCGACGACTTGCGTCAGTTATGGTTGTCGGTTTCGGAGTTGGCATGAGTTATTATGGCATGCCATTGGGCCTTGGAAACTTGGCATTTGATCTATACTGGAGTGAGGTATTTAATGCATTTATAGAAATTCCATCCACCTTGCTTATATTCTTTCTTATTGGGAAACTGAACAGGAAGTTCTCGATATTGGGATTAGCTATATTGAGCGGAATTTTTAGTTTAACGTGCGTGCTGGTTAGGTGGAAGGGGATGCAAATAGGACTAGAATTGATATCATTTTTCAGCGCAGTCACTGCATTAGATTTGGTAATGATTTATACCTTGGAGTTGTTTCCAACATGCGTGAGGAACTCGGCTGTGTCAATGTTGAGGCAAGCAGTGCTGTTTGGTGGCCTTTTTGGCCCCGTCATAGCGGCAGCCGGCAGACAGAATAGGTTTCTTTCATATGGAGTGTTCGGGATAACTATAGCTGTGTGTGGGTTGTTCGTCACGCTCCTGCCAGAAACAAGAGGACGGACATTCTACGATACCATAGATGAAGAGGAACGGAAGAATAGAGCTTTAATTGATGGAGTGGATACTGCATAAGTCCACATTATGGAAGTAAATAGGCACTTAATTCTATAGTTTATGGCCTTCTAATTATATAATATATGTTGTATTGAAAACAAGGGTGAACCACACAACCAAACTAAAATAAAAATATAAATAAATAAATAAATAAATAAAAATGGAAGTTACTGTGCATAGAGTTTTATTAGAATGTACTAAATACGTTCCTTTTCATGAAGAAAAATATTGTATCTTCTCTCTAAATATGTGAAGAATAAAATTCCAGGGAAATTGTTCACAAAAATTCCGCATTCCACAATGATTTACTTATATATAGGGTCAAAGAAATGTTAAGAAGAAGAAAATCTAAGCCTCAAATATTAAAAGGCAGTCAATATTGTGTCTTCATTGCTGGTAAAACCATTTGAAATCAACTTTTTTAAAAAGCTTGTGTCCAAATTAAGAGCAGCCAGTGTGCCAATTAGCCCAACAAAGTTAAAACTTGAAACCTAAACAAAATCAAAATGTAACACATTAGCCCAAATTCAAATCCATCTAAGCACATGCTTTTCCCCATTTCTTAAAATTAATTCTTTCCCAATTTTATTTTCAATCTTACATTTGATGAAATTTATGACTTTTATCAACTTTTCTAATATATATTTATTAAATTTTATCAAAATCTACTGACAAAACCAAACGAAGGCTAAATGAGAGACATCTCTCTGCTTCTCTATACCTCGTCATACGCTACTGAGAATGACTGCACCTCTTATGCCATTGTCAAGTCCAGGGGAGGAGCCATCTTAAGGCCGGCACTTGCCTGCACTGAAGTTTTCTCAAGCAAAAAAAAAAAAAAAAATGGAAAAGAAAAAAAATCAACACCCTATTTGCCGATTTACATATGTAGAGAGAATTAAAGAGAGAAACATAGAGAAAAAGAGAAAAGGGAGAGAATCATCAACAAGAAGAAGGCAAGAAGCACCCTAAACTTTTCTCCTGTATATATATGCTATAAAATGTATGTACATGTGTAGAGAGAGCTAGAGAAAGAAAGAAGAAGTTTAAACTCAAGATTATATCTAAACATGCAATTTGCATTAAGACCCATAAACTTTATACTATAGCTAAAGAAAGCATAAAATTATGTCAAATGTTCACATAAAGTTTATTTAATTATTTTTTTTAGGCTAAGGATAGAAATTGGTGTGAATATTGGTTGATTATATAGCATGCACATGAAAACTTGATACATTTGTTACTAATTTTTGATATATTGCTTTGTTTGTGTATTAAATAAAATTTTTTGGACATGTTTCATTTTGTTAAGTTTTGATTTTATATATTAGTTTAAAAAAAAAAAAGAATTCATATTGCATAGTTTAATTTAAGAGCTCAAATTTAAAATTCATCTCAGGCTGCGAAATTGGTGTGAATCTTGGTGGATTATATATCATGCATAGGAACTTTGATTTTTCAAATTTAGAAGTAATTATTTTATTTTGATGTTATCTCATGTTCAATGTTTGATCTTGGAGGGGTGAGACTTAAGAATAGACATAGCCAGGGTGGGTTCTTTAGTATTTTATTTTTTATTATTTTTTTTGGTTGGAATAAATATATAGATTTCGACAAAATAATGAAATAAGTGGACAACTAATGAACTCGAAATTGCTGTAGAAGCTCGGTTAAGTTTTTGCTTTGGGAATTGCTAATCTTCACTTTTAATTTCTTCCTTTATGTGTACCCCAGCTTCATTTACGCAAGGAAATTGGAACATCTTCAAGGGCATTCTCCTACGAAAATTCCACAGTATTGCTTTCGTTTCTATGGTGGTTTCTGTTCACAAAATAATTCTTTCAATTTAAAACTACCGCAAGTGTACGGATCGTGACAAGTAATAAAGTGAATTTTTAAAAGTCCGAATATCGTCTCACAGAAATTGAGTAGTTCAATTCTATATAATCTAGCCTTAACTGAGTCTAATTGAGTGAAAATATAGTCAAAATGCAAAAAAGTCCTAATTTCAATTAAAAACTCTAATTTCTCAATTAGGAACCCTAATCTCGAAATTTCTCTAATTAAACGACTCAAACACTCAAGTAAATGAAATTATGCAAATTCAAAAACTAATTTATGAAAATGAATCAAAATAAAGTTACTAGGATCACGAATCTCCAATTGAAGCTATAAAAACCCTAATTTCATAAAATCAATGACCCGATGGAAATTTGCCAATTCAATGTTCCTAAATCTATCCAACATATTCTCTCGATATATATTACACCTATTCTTGCACATCACCAGCCTATATCTCTATAGATGATGCAAATATACAAGAATGCATGTGGTTTTGTGAACAATTAGAGAATTGCATAAAGTATAAGAGTATATCTCTATCCCCTATCGGACCCTATGTTGATTTACACCTTATCGAACCTATTCCACTTCTCTCGAATGTAAGAAATAATTCATCAACACTCACACAATCATTGGCCACTAATTGCGGAAGAAAATCAATGCATATAAACCAATCTAATTGTCCAAACGAATCTTTATATTAAAATCATGAAATATGAAATTAAAATAACAAAAAATTGTTCATCGATCACCTAGTGAATTGAAAATCTAGCCTAGAATATTCATAATTACAGAATAAAAAACGAAATTAATAAATTGAAAGAATATCACCCATATGAAAATTTCTTGAAATCTTGAATAAAGCCTTGAAAACCCGCTTGAATTCTTGTGGAATCGGCTTCAAAATCGTGTTTCTTGCCTCCAAAAGTTGTAATTTTCTTCTCCCTGGACGTTCTCTTCTATTTCTGATAAATTTTGGCTTTTATATCATGTCCTCACGGAACCCCGAAAGAGTTTCAATCAAAAAAGCAAGTTCAGAATTTTTTTTGTTTTTTATAGCCATGCGGCCGTATGGTGTTAAACCATGCGACCGCATGGTTCAAGTGAAATAGCCCATGGAATCCCTGCAACCTTCTGTGCGGCCGCATGGCACAGTTCTGTGCGGCCGCAAGGTTGTAACTTTCAACTTTGCTGTTTTGGTCCCTGAACTTCGTTTTCTCTTTTCTTGATCTCTTTTCTTTCTTTCCTTTGTTCCATCATAAAATATTGACTCCTAATTGACGTTTGGGTCAATCAATTCCTTGATCACTTGCTCGGCTCATCTTTTGATTAATTGCAATTTAGTCCTTCATCTTTTACTTTTCTTCAATTCAGTCCAATATTACTTCTTTCTTCCTCCGATCATCTTGTATTGTCCTCAAGCTCATACTTGACATATTTTCATTCTCGTTCTACACTTTAGCTCAATTTTCCAATTTTTGCACCTTTGGTCCCCGAACTATCGCTTTGTTCCGTTTTGGTCCTTTTTCGGCTCTTTTCTTCTGAATTCCATTTTTTCCATAGAAACACATACATCGCATGAATTTAACAAGATTAAGTCACAATTCAACTACTTTGTCCATATTTAAGTCATGTTTGTGAGCTAAATAAGTGTGTAAAAACACACTTATCAAATCTCCTAAACTTAAACTATTGTTTGTCCTCAAACAATGTAGTGACTTAATGCTAAACAAACATGGCTTAATAGCTTGCCGTGTCTCAGGATTGGAACTTAATAATAATAATAGAAACAATAGCAAAAGTGCGAGAATTGAATCAACATTTACTCATCAAATGCAATACTCAACGTGTGTGTGTGAACTTATGCCAACATATCAAGCTTATTATTTGTTTATTCCCGACCCATAGTGGTCAAATTTATCCTTACATCACTCGAGAGATACATAACCCCCAAATGTATTCTTTTCACTTAATTACTCTGGGGTGTATTCTAAGGTTAGGAGTTTAAACAATTTTAATCCTTACCCTCTCTTAATTTGGATAAATTTTACCATTACAAGTTCACATATCAACAAATATAGACTCTCCTTATTTTGATTGCTTCAACCTTTAGGATTAAACTAAGCTATTTGCCTCGCATCAAAGTTATAGTTCTATCAACCAAATGTCCAACAGGGCTTTTTTGTGTCATCTTCTCATTTGTTTTCTATATAACCCATGTAACGAGCTTTAGGTGATGACTCCCAAACCAATTGGCTTGGGTACCAGGTTTTAGACCCTTGCAGTCTTATTCACTCGAGTTATAAAGGCTCGATAAGATGACTTTTTATCAATTTCTCCCTTTTCTTGCTTTCTATATGACCCTTGTAACGAACTTTAGGCCGATGACTCCCAAATCAGTTGGCTTTAGGGCATCAGGTTTTAAACCCTTACAGACTTACTTGCTCGAGTCATAAAGGCTTTTGAGAGAAGTGATGATTTTTCAATTTTTATTTTATGCCCCTTCTTTGTTTTTTTAGACATTTGACTTCCAAAACCATCCTCAACTTAAAGTTTTCACCTATTTCTCACCTTTCGGGTCTAAACAATCCACACAGTATAATTTCATGCACGGAGCCCCCACTTATCTCCATGTTTTCCTATAACGACTCAATCATCTCCAAACTATCTTAAAGTGGTATTACAAGTTAATGTTATAGAGGGTTATTCTAGGTTTCTCCTAATTTATTCTAGAATTCCAATCAATAACTTAACACGTGAAGCATGAGTGGTGTGCAAAAGAATGTCAAGCAATGCATCAACAAGTATTAGCAAATTAAATCCTGCACTAAATCTACAGTTTCTAGTTTATACATGTCCAATAATCACATCATAGCCAGCAAGGCTACCAAACCCACACAATCATGCAAAAGTTCATCAAGATTCACTCATCAAGCATGCATCATGTAAAAACTTGTCAAAATTAACGATAGATTGTGAATATGCAAAATAATTACATGCCGAATATTTGTTTGAAATTATGCTACCATCCCCCAAACTTATACAATACATTGTCCTCAATGTAAAATGTAAAGTTAAAATGACAGAATTTAAAACATGGACACAACTTGCCAATAAGAGATTAACAAAACTCCCCTAATCAATTCGGTGGCTGTGGTATGAAGTTGGGACCCGCAGCATCATCTTCAGGAGGAGATGGGAGGCGAGATAGGAGTTGTCTCAGCAACTCGAACTGCTGTGCTTGCTAGGCCTGAATGGCTTGAAGCCTACTTTCCGTACTTCCCAAACGATCCCAAGTTTCATTCACACGCCACTGTATGCCATCCATTCTCCCAATGTACATGTTGAACCTACCATTCATAGTCTCTACTTCCCTTCTTACAGCTATGGCTTCATTCATAGCGCCCAATGTGTA